AGCAGAAACTATATGTATTCCATGTCTACACCTACTCTTATTCTTCCATTTTACTGAAGAATGCTCAGGAACTGTACAGATAATATTACTTTTCCTGTGTTCTGGAATAAAGAGACATGTCAATCATAGCTGAAATGCAGCAAATCTATGATGTGAAACAATCTAAGCCCGAAGCCTAGCAACTGCCTGAAGAAAAGCTGTAGCCAACCCACATATACATACTGTGTGAGTGATAATTAAATCCTCATTTTAAGACATTGTAATTGTAGGATTCTTCCCTATTACAGTATTTCATTAAAAAAAATCAAATACTCTTTATTAGGTTTTTCAAATGCTTTCATTTGAGTCTTATTTTGTCATAATAATGAACATGTACATATTCTAATGTGTAATTTTGTATATTTGTCTTACATTTTGCTAATGTACTTCATACATTCAATAAGTATTTTTAAAATTAATTTCTAATATATAGTCATTGTGCACTTTTTTGATTGCAGCTTCCTACTCTTTAAAATTCTATTTGGAAAATTTAAAAAAATAATCATAATAGTTTTATATACTAGAAAAATGAGGTAGTGCTGAATAATGAGTAAAATTTCAACTATTTAACACATTTATTTTTTTTAAATATATTTTATTGATTTTTTACAGAGAGGAAGGGAGAGGGATAGAGAGTTAGAAACATCGATGAGAGAGAAACATCGATCAGCTGCCTCTTGCACATCCCCACCGGGGATGTGCCCGCAACCCAGGTACATGCCCTTGACCGGAATTGAACCTGGGACCCTTCAGTCCGCAGGCCGATGCTCTATCCACTGAGCCAAACCGGTTTCGGCATGTTCCACTTATTTATATATTCATTGGTTAATTCTTGTATGTGTCCTGTCTGGGGATCAAACCCACAACCTTGGTGTCTGGAGATGATGCTCTCATCAACTGAACTACCCGGCCAGGGCTCAGAGATTGTCTTTTAGGTTAGCATATATTAAAAACGAATCAACTTTAGTAAAGGGAAAGTAGGCTTCCCTATGGGAAATCATGAAATTTATCTCCATATGAGTTATTGAAATATCAGGTGCACACTCCCCAGCAGTAAACCTTAAATGTTTGCTGAGCACTTTGCAACTTTAAAAAATATATTTAATAAAATTTTGTCAGAATTAAATTGAATTGTGAGTGAGCAGTATTCTCATTTCTGTGTAATGAGCGAGGGTGTTTGGCCATCAGTACAGCCAGCCCTCACCTGCTGCCTCAAATCCAGACTTGTAGTTTTGAGGACCAAGCCATTTATTTAGCTCATGGCATAGGGTAGGCTGGGTGGGCAGCATAGCACCTTTGCATCTTTTGTCTGCTTTTGCAAAAATGCACAGGTAGTCCTGGTTGGTGAGAGTGCTTGGTCCTAGATGCAGTTACTTGTATCCCATCATTAAAGGAGCCAGATCTGTTGGCATAATCACTCCTGCCTTGCCATCCCCATCCAGAGCTCTTAGTTACAACACACTCCATTTCTTTATTAATAACAAGACAGGAAAGAAATGTCAAAAAACTAGTCTTTCAGCTTTTGTTGTGTGTGTGTGAAAGTATTTGCATTGCGGAGGGCATCTTTCCACTGTGGTACTGGTGAAAGTTTGAATGGTAAACTCCAAGTTTGATTTCAAAAGCAAGTGGCCAGTCTTTCTTCCCCTTTACAAATAAGTACACAGACGGGCTGTAGCATTCGGTTGTCTGAACACTGGCCAGCGGCCTTCGCTCTTGGTGGCCATACAGAGCTTTCACCATATTGGTTCCTGGCTGTGAGCTGATGTGTTAATTTACTTTAGGAGCCGCCAGCCGTGTGAGAGGGAGGCAGTGTTCTTTGCTTTTCAGTCCTGTTTTTTGGGTGCATTTTAAATAGTGTTCCTTTCTGTTCTCCGAAAGCAGATCTGAGCCAGAGGGTGCTGCTCACCTCGCCAGCACTGATAGGGAGAGCTGTGCACATGAGGGTGGTGGACTTCACCATCCCTCTGAATGGTTTCCATAGAGATGGAACCAACAAATTCCGGGGACGTGAGGTGAAAGTAAATGGAGAGCATAGCCTTGAAAGAACACAAACATTTGGGCTCTTGCAAGAAAATTTACATCAGGTCTAGAATTTACTTTATGGGGTCCACCATTCCAAATTTTTGACTGCTGATAATATCAGTAGCTAATATAAAAACAAGTCTACATTTTCTTTGTGCTTATTTCTGTTTTGTGTAACTTTGGCACCAGGATTAAAATGAGAGAATCTCATGAATGTTTATTATACTGCAAACTGCCCCCTCCCCATCTCCCTCTTTCTCAATTCCAAAAGAAAGCCACAGCCAAAATCATAGAGAATACTGATTATTTTGGAATAGTATTGATGCATGTTGAATACAGCAGGCATCCTATTTAAATAGGAAAAAAAAATCCTTCTTGGATATGTAAGTACTTTTTTTTTTTTTACATTAAAATACATCTAGAAACACAAACCAATTGAGTTAAACTGTCAGTTGGAACATAGACATTGTGGATCACAGACACATTTTCTTAATCACCATGTTTTGCCTAACGGTTGAGGCAACTAAACCTGTGTATGCAGATGGCAGGCCCTGCGCTAGCATTTTTATCCTCACATGAGGGTTTATTTGTTATCTCCTAGCTTGATATAGGAGTCCTTTAACAGATGATTGTGAAAGGCTTTCATGCCTGTTTTATTTTAGTAGTGTAAAAACCTGTAGATTATAGAAGAAGTTTACAAGTATAAGAAGGGGGTCCATATATTTGTCATCTTTGCAAGAAAACAATTTTAAAGTTCTCTAATGAGCATCAGCCTAAGCTTGGACTTCTATAAAGGTTGAGCAAGAGGAGAAATGCTGAGCAAAGGATGGGGGGTGGGGGGTGGGGGTGGGGGAGGGGGGAATAGTAAACCCCAAAGTCTGTGATGGAAGGAGTAACAGTCTCAGGTATGGAGGACTATGCTTGAAAGCTTTGGGGTTTCTTCCTGCAGGTAATGGGGAGCTGTCCCATTTGGGCAGGAGAGTCAAATGCATACACTTGAGCCACAAATCTTCAATGATTTCCTATTTTAAGTACTGTGCTGGCTGTATGGCAGCCAAGGAGAAAGGGGTGGATATAAGATTTCAGAAGGAAGACAAATGCCAATTGGTTATTATTTGGGACTGAAAAAGATCTAGAGTTTCTTCCTTGAGAATTGGCAGGAGAGTGCTACCTTTCAAGGAATAGACTATCCAAGAAGAGAAACTCATTTATTTGGGGATCTAGTTGGATGAAGAACAGGAAATGTAAAGTTGACATGGGATATAATGAATGTCCAGGAAAAAAATAGATCCCAAGTAGAACTATCTAGTAATAGTATTTGAATAGAACTATGAGTGAATTTTTTTTGGAAAAGTCTATGTTGACTTTTTAAATTTATTTAAGGGCCAAAATAGAGGGGGAAAATAACTCTTTAAAATTTATTTTTTTTAATTTGAGATAGAGATGGAGAGAGAAACATTGTTTTGTTGTTCCACTTATTTATACATTCATTGGTTGATTCTTGTATGTGCCCTGACTGAGGATCTAACCCACAATCTTGGTGTATTGGGACGACCCTCTCACCAACTGAGCTATCCAGCCAAGGCCAAAAACATCTAAAAAAAATACATTTTTGTTGATTTCAGAGAGGAAGGGAAAGGGAGAGAGAGATAGAAACCTCAGTGATGAGAGAGAATCATTGATCGGCTGCCTCCTGCATGCCCCACACTGGGGATGGAGCCGGCAACCAGACATGTGCCTGACCAGGAATCAAACTGTGACCTCCTCGTTCATAGGTCAACACTCAACCACTGAGCCACGCTGGCCAGGCCAAAAACAACTTTTTATTTTTTTTTAATTTTTTAAAAGTTTTTTTAAATATATATTTTTATTGATTTTTTTACAGAGAGGAAGGGAGAGGGATAGAGAGTTAGAAACATCAATGAGAGAGAAACATTGATCAGCTGCCTCCTGCACACTCCCTACTGGGGATGTGCCCACAACCGGAATCGAACCTGGGACCCTTCAGTCCTCAGGCCGATGCTCTATCCACTGAGCCAAATCAGTTAGGGCCAAAAACAACTTTTTAAAACAACCAACATTTGGGCAGAATTTTACCATTTTCAAATGCGCCATAGAGTACATTAATCTTATTTGAGTACTAAGAAAATACGATATTGGTGATGTTAACTCTATTGATCACCAAGAGAATTTAAATATATATTTTATTGATTTTTTTTTTACAGAGAGGAAGGGAGAGGGATACAGAGTTAGAAACATTGATGAGAGAGAAACATCAATCAGCTGCCTCCTGCACACCCACTACTGGGGATGTGACCGCAACCAAGGTACATGCCCTTGACTGGAATCGAACCTGGGACCCTTCAGTCCACAGGCTGACACTCTATCCACTGAGTCAAACCAGCTAGGGCACCAAGAGAATTTAGTAGAGAGTGTTTTAGTTACTTGTCCCAGTTCATAAGTAGCAAGTTAAAGAATTAAAGTTGAAACCCAGGGCTTCTTAGGGTTGTGAACATGCAGGGAAACCTGGGAAGCACTCCACTAGTTAAGGCAGTACCATTGGGTATGATCTTTCTAAGGAGAACATGGCAATATGTACCGAAAGCCTTAAAGTTAATGATCTCATGATTCAAAATTCCACTTCTAGAAATTTGTCCTAAGAAAATAAGACAAAGATGAGGTGGTTCATTGTATACTATTTCTAATATTTAAATCAAAAAGTAATCACCCCAATTCATTTAATGAATAATATTTTTCAAAAAGTAGTATTCAACTTTTAGGGACCTTGTTAAATAAATTATGATAAAAATGATTTAATTCCACATAATGAAAGTTATGTTGTTGAACAATATTTAAACTTATCAGAAACTGCCCATGGCCCATGGAATAACATTAATGGGGGGGGGGGGGGGGGCGGGCGCAGAAACAAGATACTAAACTTTTCATAGAGTGTAATCTTACTTCAAATATAAATGTGACTATGATGTGAAAAAGACACTGAAATCAATTAATCTGATTGTGGTAATCACTTCACAAAATATACATATATCAAATCATCACACTTTACATATATATATGCATATATATATAATTTTATTTATTAATTATTCCTCAATAAAGCTGAAGGAAAACTGTATAAAGAAAAGTCACAGACCAAGAAGAAAAGAGACCCCTTGTCCAGTGTGGCTCAGTGATTCAGCACCGACCCATGAACCAGGAGGAAGGTAGAGGGAGAAAGAGAGAGAAAAACATCGATGTGAGAGCGAAACATTGGTTGGTTGCCTCCTGCATGTGCCCCAACCAGGGATTGAACTCACAACCTATGTATGTACCCTGACTGGGAATTGAACCTTCCAACTAACTGAGTCACACCAGCAAGGGCTGCTTATTTTTCAATATTATACTCAGTGCTGTGATGAGTTCTTTGGAGCGTCTCTCTCTCTCTCTCTTTATCGCTCCCTCTCCTTATTGTATAGTCTATATTTATCTTTATGGATATAATGAATCTTTCCCATTTATTAGATGGACTAGCTGGTATGTGCACATGTGTGTATGTGTGCACGTGTGTGCAAGTTTGTGCATCTATTTGTCAATCAGTGATTCTGAGTAAAATGAAAGTTTAATGCTAACCAGGCAATCTAAACATATGTCTTCATGGTGGCCGGCCCTGATGTGTGTGTGAGTCTTATCTATCTGAGGTCACAATTGCCCCTTGTCTATGCCTTTTGTGTGACTCCATTTCTGCTCAGATTCCCTTTCTACTTTGTCTGCGCCATGTATGGCGTGCCTTATTCATTCCAGTTCACCACCCACTTAGAATTTGGCAAACGGAGTTATACTTCCTAAGCCAGGCTGTTCAAGGAGTTAACTGAAGCAAAAATTTACTCTGCTGTGCACACACACACACACACCAATAAAAGTTGCAGGAAAATAATTTCAGTCTTGACATTGTACTGCTTGGTATGGCAAGCTTCCCTACCCCACTCCCCATCAAAGGTAAGAAGACATTGATTTCAAAGCTTTCAAAAAAGAAGACTAAAAGATGGGTGGAAATATCTTGAACATGATGATCAGAACAGGGAGAAAGGAGAAGGGCTTGAAAAAATCAAATAAAAACAAAACGAAACGCCTAACATTTTTGCCTTATACTCTTCTGGCTTGGAAAGACAAGACAATACAGATATGAAGCAATGTCAATCACATGCAAGAGCCAGGGCCCCAGTCTGACCCACTTTGATGGAATGGATTCTTGGTGAAGAAATAGCAGCTCTGTCTTAAGTCCTCAGTCACCCTCTATTCTATCACCTTCTTTCCTTTTTTTTAAAAAAAAATATTTTTAAAATATATAAGTAATATATTTTATTGATTTCAGAGAGGAAGGGAGAGGGAGAGAGAAATAGAAACATCAATGGTGAGAGAGAATCACCGATTGGCTGCCTCCTGCATGCTCCCTACTGAGGATCAAGCCCACAACCTGGGCATGTGCCCTGACTGGAAATTGAACCTGGGACCTCTTGGTCCATGGGACGATGCTCAATCCACTGAGCCACCACAGCTGGGCATTATTTTCTTTTCTTTAAAATATAACTCTGAAATAATTTCTTTCATTTATTGTCTCCTTTCCCCCATTACTGTTACCCATTGTACTTATTAGCTGTCACCAGAAGCTATCATATTTCTTTTTATAAGCATGAAGTAAATATTTGTAGGGTGAGTGAATGAATGAAGGAATGAAAAAAAAAGATAAAGGTATTGAATGTGTTACCTTACACACTTAAAGATACATATTTGGTTAATAACTGGAGGAGATTAACCAAAGATTAATTCATAAGATTAGAATTCATATTTATGCTGCCTTCTAACCATTTTTATCCTTGATATTGATAGTTATGGAGTTAACGTCCATAGACTCTTAATAATTGGATAGTGAAAATTTTAAAATGAAACTCTATTAATTTCTTAGGAGCATATAGAACTTCTGGATAGTGTAAAACAAATATTCTCTGCCCAATAAACAAGTTTGAGTATTAGATATAAAATTCTTGAATATGTTCCTATTGTGAACTGTAAATGGGGTGAGCTTTTTAGATAGAAGAAAGATAATAGGAAGTGAAATTTCTGTTTATAATATCATAGGTAGACTCAAGTGGATTGTAAGAGCCAGCTTACAATAAAACACATACAAAAGATCATTAAAATAGAGCTGTAGCCCTGGCCGGGTAAATCAGTTGCTTAGGGCATCATCTGCTGTGCCAAGGTTGTGGGGTTGATCCCTGGTCAGGGCACATACAAGAAATAACCAATGAATGCATAAATAAGTGGAACAACAAATTGATGTTTCTCTCTCTCTCTTCCTCTAAAATCAATAAATAAAATGTATAGAGAAAATAATAAAATAGAAATGTAAAATTTTGAAAATCACTTAGAGCAGCGGTTCTCAACCTGTGGGTTGCGACCCCTTTGGGGGTCGGACAACCCTTTCACAGGGGTCGCCTGAGACCATCGGAAAACACATATATAATTACATATTGTTTTTGTGATTAATCACTATGCTTTCATTATGTTCAATTTGTATCTCTCCCCTTTTAAAATCAATAAATAAAATTTATAGAGAAAATGATAAAATAGAAATGTAAAATTTTAAAAATCACTTAGAGGAATAGAAAAATAAGTACTGATTATCTCCAAACAAAGAATAATATTATTATAATTTAATTCTGAGCTTTCTTATAGAGGCAAAAAGGGAAGCTTACTGACCCATTATATATAATTCTTAAGAGTGGTAAAGTTAATTTTCAGATCATGATTTCTAAAATGAAGACATTTGGTGACCTTTTCTGAGCAGTGGAGCCACAGTATGGACATGTCCTTTATTTCCCTCACAGGATCACCCAGTATACTCCGTACCAGCCAGAGGTGTCTCAGGGGAGACTGGAGAGTTTACTGAATTACCAGACCATGGTGTGTGACATCACAGGCATGGACATGGCCAACGCATCCCTGCTGGATGAGGCGACCGCAGCTGCAGAGGCGATGCAGCTATGCCACAGGTGAGAGGCCCAGGGTGAGACTGTCAGGGTAAGGGGCATCTTCCAGACTCTCTCCTCTTTGTCAAAAGCTCTGATTATTTCCTGAGGATGTGTGCCTAGAGGTAGAATGTCTGGGTCATGGTGTATAGTTAATTCATTGCTCTCCAGTTCCTCACCTTTTTTCTTTCTTTGCCTTGTGAGCACATTTGCTCTATCTACCTGGAGAATTCTCATGTAGATGGTCGTCTGGTTGGGAAATCTGCCCACACTCATGGTGTATTTGTCTGAGGTTTTGTGCTTCTGGTCCTGAATGCCCATGTAAGTCTCTTGGCTTCCGCAAATTAGAGAGGTGGTGAGCCCCAAACTCGCTCAAACCAAACTCGCTCAACACAGGTATGGAGGCCTCTAAATTGCAGCTAGAGGCCCTTCTGCTTCCCAGGTCGCCTTGGGGGCTCTTCCTCCTGTGATGGATAAACAGCTACAAAGGAATGCTGCCCACTCACTTCTATGGTTATTCTTCCTAGCTTTTCATTTATGGTCATCATTTCTCTTCCTCATCCATGTGTTCTCCCATTTACCACCACCAATTTTGCTAAATAGGATAGGACTTGGATTTCAGTGGAAATCTATTCAGTAAAGCTCCTTGATCATTATTGCCCCAGTGTTTTTGATACTGTCGAAATAAGAAACGTCTAACCCTGTGAAGAATTTTCATAAGAGTGTATTTGAGTCCAAATGATGCCAGGGAGCAAGATCTCAAATGCTCGGGAGAATAACAGGTTTGCAGCTCCTTTTATGCATTTGAAATTACGGAGGGAATGTAAGGAAGATTACATGGAGCTGGGAAAGAGAGAGATGGGGATGGGATTACAGGATAGTTAAGATTATGTGCTTTCTTCACATTAGGGCTTATTTCAAAGGTGTTTTAATCGAGAGGCTCAGAAACAGTGGGCAGGGCTTGCTTAAGGCAAAGGTAAACCTTTTTCTAAAGAAATTATATGCCTGGAGCATGACTACCCACCATGGCCTTCCCAGTTGGGAATTAAGGATCAGATCACCCTGTGAGGTTACTTTCCATAGCAGTCCTTTTTTTGGGGATCCACAATGCTATGCTCGGAATTCCCCTAAGTACCATCTTTGCTTTGCATTCTTAGAAGTACTCTGATTTCTTTAATGTTCATGCTTGAATGTGATTTTCCTTTTCAACAGACACACCAAGAGGAGGAAGTTTTTTGTTGACCCTCGTTGCCACCCACAGACAATAGCTGTCATCCAGACGCGAGCCAAGTAATTACTTTTATTCACATTTTGAACTAGGGGCACCATCATGCTCATCTTGACTGGTTCTCTTCCTTACTTCCAAACCGATTGGAGGTGAACCTGGTTTAAATTGGGGTTGTTGAGTTTTACTTTCCCTCCCACTCTCTTCCCAGGATCTTGCTGGTAAGTAAACGGTGTCAGAATTGAGGAGAAAATACACAGTGCTTTTAATTGCCTTTGCTTTCTATTATCATGTGGGTTTTTTGTTTGTTTTTGTAAAAAGAAAATTTAAAAAATTTCAACTATGTTGCAGAAACTTTGAAAAACAGAGGGGGGAAATGGAATTCTCACACAACTGTGAAGATTTTGTGTGTGTTCATAGTTGTAGTCTGTTCTAAGTGTAGAATGATGTAGAAGAAAGCGTATTGTATTGACTAGTAGGTGTGGCAATGAGATCACACAAATATTGCACAACTACCACTTGTGGGTGTATTTATTTGCTTTCTCCTTATAAAAGCTGGGTAATCTTCCTGCTACCCATGCCACCATCCCTTCCGAAGGGGTTTCTCACAGATGTTGGAATTAGATGGTTTTAGGAACCTAAAGGAAGGTCTGTCTCCTCCATGTCTTACTGATGATTTTCTATTCACCTAAGACAGCGGTTCTCAACCTGTGGGTCGCGACCCCTTTGGGGGTCAAATGACCCTTTCACAGGGATCGCCTAAGACCATCGGAAAACACATATAATTACATATTGTTTTTGTGATTAACCACTATGCTTTAATTATGTTCAATTTGTAACAATGAAAATACATCCTGCATATCAGATATTTACATTACGATTCATAACAGTAGCAAAATTACAGTTATGAAGTAGCAACGAAAATAATTTTATGGTTGGGAGTCACCACAACATGAGGAACTGTATTAAAGGGTCGCGGCATTAGGAAGGTTGAGAACCGCTGACCTAAGACTTATCCAAAGTGAAAGTGGCAATGGCGCTGCTGTTACAGATATTGGTTCTTTAGCCCTACGAGGCAATGTTTCTGGTCTTGTCTCAGGAGCTGGTTCTGGCAGGAAAGGGGAGTAGTGCCTGTGGTTGAGAAAAACAGAAGCTGAGCTGTTGGATGCAATTGAGTTGGCTTGAAACACTGTTACCACTGAAGGTCTGGGTATGAGGGATGTGTGTGTGTGTGTGTGTGTGTGTGTGTGTGTGTGTGTGTGTTGGGATGTGGTGGTGGGTGGGCATTGAGAAAGGACACAGATTATGAATGCTATATTATGGATAAGAAACTGTAGGCTATTTGATTTTTCCTTACAAACCAAAAACATGATTGTTCTTTGTCTTCTCTCTTTCCAGATATGCTGGAGTTCTCATTGAGTTGAAGTTATTCCACGAAATGGACTTCAGTGGGAAAGATGTCAGTGGAGTGCTGTTCCAGTACCCAGACACTGAGGGGAAGGTGGAAGACTTTACTGAACTCGTGGAGAGAGCCCATCAGACTGGGGTAAGCAAACCTCTCCTTGTGGGGTCCATGGAGGTGTGTCTCAACTTTGAATTATCGGTTCTGGTGTGCCTTAATTTACATACTGTTATCACTTGGAATGGTAAAGCTGTCTTTTTCCTTCCTCCTTTATTCAAGTTTTTTATTTTTTTATTTTGTTATGCTTCTTTATTTATTTATTTTTTAATTGTTTTATTGCTTAAAGTATTACAAAGGGTATTACATATGTCTCCTTTTTCCCCCCGCCCTTGATAATCCCCTGGCCTCCCCTACCCCCAGTGTCTTATGTCCATTGGTTATGCTTATATGCATGCATATAAGTCCTTCGGTTGATCTCTTACCCACTCCCCCTTCTGCCCCCCTACTCTCCCCGGTCTTCCCGCTGCAGTTTGACAATCTGTTTGAGGCAGCTCTGCCTCTGTATCTATTTTTGTTCATAAGTTTATAATGGTCTTTATTATCCATGAATGAGTGAGATCATGTGGTATTTTTCCTTCATTGACTGGCTTATTTCACTTAGCATAATGCTCTCCAGTTCCATCCATGCCGTTGCAAATGGTAAGAGTTCCTTCTTTTTTACAGCAGCATAGTATTCCATCGTGTAGATGTACCACAGTTTTCTAATCCATTCATCTACTGATGGGCACTTAGGCTGTTTCCAGATCTTAGCTATGGTGAATTGTGCTGCTATGACATATGGATGCATATATCCTTTCTGATTGGTGTTTCTGGTTTCTTGGGATATATTCCTAGAAGTGGGATCACAGGGTCAAATGGGAGTTTCAAGTTTGTTTTATTTATTGATCCCTGGCACATAAAAAGCACTCAGTAAATATTTTAAGTGAATGAATAAGTGAAGTTCACGTAATAGGAACCAACTCTGCCAGTCTGCTTGTAATGGAGGTGATTGGCTGCTCTATCACTACTCTCAGGGAAGGTAACAACCTTGTCCACTTTCTCGTTTCCTTTCTAGAGCTTGGCTTGCTGTGCTACTGACCTTTTAGCTCTGTGTATCTTGAGGCCTCCTGGAGAATTTGGGGTAGACATCGCCCTTGGCAGCTCACAGAGATTTGGGGTGCCACTCGGCTATGGTGGACCGCATGCAGCCTTTTTTGCCGTCAGAGAAAGCTTGGTGAGGATGATGCCTGGAAGAATGGTGGGAGTTACAAGGTAAAGCAACTCATGTTTCTCCTTTTTTATCGTGGCCATGATTTTCCCTGCTCCTCTCTTTTTAAAAATAATACAATTTCTTATTGATTTCAGAGAGAGGAAGGGAGAGGGAGAGACAGATAGAAACATCAATGATGAGGGAGAATCGTTGATTGGCTGCCTCCTGCATGCCCCACTCTGGGGATCGAGCCCAAAACCTGGGCATGAGCCCTGATTGGGAATCGAACCGTGACCTCCTGGTTCATAGGTTGATGCTCAACCGCTGAGCCACACTGGCCGGGCCCCTGTTCCTTCTCTTGATCACAAAAGTTGTTGGTTGTTCTTTAAACCTAACGGGGTCACTTGGGGTTGATTAAAGATGTGTACAACATAGATTCAGAAGGGAGAATCTATTTGGGGTGTGAACTAGTTAGTTCCTCTTCTCAAATGCCATGAGTCTGTACATGTTTGAAAAAGTGTGTGTGTAATCCATGCCATAGTTGTTCTGAGGTTACATATATAAATTTACTAAAGTTGAAGAGTGCTTTGAGAGACTGAATATTTTATTTTTTTAATTTTTTTTTCCCAAGTAGCAGAAAAATCTTCATAGTTTATTTGCCACACCTCATCGTAACAAAAGGCTCTGCTCACCACAGAACACTGCAATATTGTGGCCTTCTCACACAGCATTCACTCACTAGCACCTCACGCTTTGGGGACACAGGGTTGAGGTTTCCTAGGCTGTAAGATCTTTTTCATCTGTTTGTTCACCACGTCAGCTGCTTCTGCAATATCCCTTGCAGAATATGCTTCTTGTTTCTTCTTCATAAATAATATGTCCGTCAATTGCTTATCTGAAACACTTAGCTGCTGACAGGTCCCCATAACCTGACTAAGATAAACTGCTGAGAGATGCTTGCACAGCAGGCTGTCACTCTTCCGGAGCACGGAGAAGGCAAACGCAGGACATGAACAGTAATGACAAGAAGCCAAACATGTGTATGTTTTACCAGAACTTCCAAGCACCTGGTAAACATGCCTCCCACTGGGTGATGAGATTAAAGTGATGGACTGTCGATCAACTACGTCCAAGGCCTGGAGGGCTGATGAGCCAAAGACAAACTTCAGCAATAATAGATGCTCATCAGGAAGGTGCGCGCTCTCCCGCACCGCCGGGGCCATCTCGCTCAGGAGCTCCTCCACCACCATGGCCGGCAGCATGACCGCTGGTGAGCCCGCAGCCATGGGCCTGCGGGCGCGGCCTCCTCTAAAGGCCAGCGGAGCCCAGGCCGATGCTCTATCCACTGAGCCAAACCGGTTACGGCTACACAGTTATTTTAGATGTGTTTTATATCTAATCATTTTCTTTCTCAAAAGTATTATGCTACACAGTTATGTAAAGATAAGTGCAATAAGAGATGATCATGCACATATTGAGTGAGATCCACATTATTACCTAGAGGCCCGCCACTCGGCCATTGGACCAATTTCCACAAGTACTTTCTTGAGTGCTTCTCATTGACGAAGCTCCCCAGATTAATAATTTAGCCCGGCTGGTGTGGGTCAGTGGTTGAGCATTGACCTATGAACCAGGAGGTCATGGTTCAATTCCTGGTCAGGACACATGCCCAGGGTGCAGGCTTGATCCCCAGTAAAGGGGTGTGCAGGAGGCAGCCAATTAATGCTTCTCATCATTGATGCTTCTTTTTCTCTCTCCCTCTCCCTTCTTCTCTTAAATCCATAAAAGATTTTAGATGAATGCCATGATTATTCTTTATTATTTTTTTTATCCTCCCCTGAGGACATGTTTTCTATCGATTTTAGAAATAAAGGGAGAGAGAGAAACATCGATCTGAGAGGAAAATATATTCACCCCTGGGGGACAAACTTGAAACCTGGTATGTGCCCTGACTGGGAATCAAACCTGAGACCCTTCAGTGCATGGGACAGTGCTCCAACCAACTGAGCCACACCGGCAGGTGTGAATGCCATGCCATTATTGGGAAATTTAGCATGATCTTTTTGACCCTTCATAAAAACTGATACACTGATGTAAGTGAATAGTTTGGAGTAGTGAATGATGGTGATGGGAAGTTTAAAAGTACTCTCAGTTTGCCACAGGGTAGCAAAAGGCGCCTTGTTTTTTAGTGTAAAAATAAGTTTCTTCAAGTATTCTCACATTAGCTTTTTTCCCAGTGATGTCTTCACCAGACAAGATGAGGCACAGGGCGTTACAATTTTAAAAATGTAATATATTAATTATTGTTTGCTGATTTTTATTTTTCCACTTACTTATGCACTCATTGGTTGATTCCTGAATGTGCCCTGGCCAGGAATTGAACCTGCAACCTTAGCATATTAGGATGATGCTTTAACCAACTGAGCTATTCAGCCAAGGCTGTCTGCTGATTTTTATATTGAACTTCTTACCTTTCTGAAAAATGGACCCCAAAGTGTATTGAAAGAAAGGATGAGACTGCTAAATATTTGTGATTATCCAAATTTTTAATTGTATCAGGAGGGGAAAATGTTGATTAGAGACAAGTGGTAAGCTGATTAACATAATTTTAATTTATAGCTATATAGTCATTTCAGACTTCTAGTACAGAGAAGCTGTTTTCTTTGTCAGATATTTCTTTTTCCTGAGTCTGCCAAGAAGCTCAGAGTGATAATTAATCCTCAGTCACCATCATTATATTTGGCTGGGTAATTCCTGGAAAATTTCCTTTCAAGTTTCCCAGCCTTAATGTCTCTATCTGGGTTCCTCAAATCCCCACAGTACAACCTAAAAATTAGTAGTTCTAGTTAGAAGGGGATGATTTGGAAGTTGTTTCTTTATGGCCTTGTACCCAAGTAAATTTGCTTAAATTCACTTCAAGCTGGGAAGGAAAAAAGCAGGTCCATTTATGACAATTCCTGGTGCTGCGATTACCTGTGCTAATTGGATGTTTTTTTCTTGGCCCAGAGATGCCACCGGGAAAGAAGTGTATCGTCTTGCTCTTCAAACCAGGGAGCAACACATCCGGAGAGACAAGGCTACCAGCAACATCTGTACTGCTCAGGTAGGTCACAGACCTGGCCTGTCCCCTGAATGCCTTATAGTCTATTTTATAGACATGAGCTACTCATTCATTCACTTCATTGTTCATTCATGTATGCTCCACTGGGAATGTTAAGATCTTATTGGTAGAGAAGCCTTGTGGTCTTGTCAGAAACAAAATACCGTGTATTTTACTGGTGCTCTGTGTATGCACACGCTTCACACTTTAGGGTCTCTAGCATTCTTGTCCATCAGGCAGGTTTATTATGGGTGGTGACTGGGCCCCTTCTCTTCAGGCTCAGATGGAGGCCCTCCAGGATGGGGTGAGGAGGGCAAAGTGAGTGTGCTTTAGGTGACTATACTTGAGGGGATGGTCCCACTGGCAAGCTGGTCGTGGTCACAGGGTACTCTCATTGGGAGCTCATGAGAGGCATTCCCAAAGTGGGTGGGATGAAAGACGAGGAGTTACCAGGAAGTTGCCCAAGGGCGCAGGCCAGGGGGAGCAGTATTTTCTGATATCCAGCCAACTTCTAGGGTCAGGTGGAAGGCCACACTGAGCACGTGGTCTGTTCTGAGTCTACCTCTTTCAGTCAGGGTCAGAGAAGGAGAGAGATCTCACAGATACCTCAATGGGCAGTCCAGTGCTCTGCCCTCTCAGGGCATTGGCAGTTGATAAGGTCTTCTTATAGTTAGTTCAGTCTTTGGAGACGTTACTTTCTTTTTAAAAAAATTTTTTTTATTGATTTCATAGAAGAAGGGAAAGGGAGAGAGATATAAACATCAATAATGAGAATCATGGATCCGCTGCCTCCTGCACGCCTCCTAGTGGGGATCGAGCGTGCAACCCAGGCATCTGCCCTTGACTGGAATCAAACCTGGGACCCTTTAGTCTGCAGACCAGAGCTCTATCCACTGAGCCAAACCGTCCAGAGCTGGAGATGTTTCTTCAGTTGGTTTTCTTATATTATTTTTTGCCTCAGGAAGGTAAGAGCTCTTCTAGTGTCACAGGAAGGAGTCAGTTGTCACAGGCTTTTCCTCTGTTGACATCTAATGGATCTTTACATGATGCCTTTACTATCTATAGTTTACACTCCATTTGTTGAATTCTCTGCTTACATATTTTCCCTTCCTCTGCAGCTGACTGTCCCTGTCTTATTCTTTCTTCCCATCTTCTCCCAGAAGGTATCTGTCTGATCATAAGTGCATTAGAGTTTTCTAATTCTCCAGGTGAACTTGGGCTGTCTACAATGAACAAGTTCTTTTAAAAAATATATTATATATTTTATTGATTTCGGAGAGGAAGGGAGAGGAAGAGAGATTGAAACATCAATTGTGAGAGATAATCATTTATCAGCTGCCTCCTGTACGCCCCCCACTGAGGATCGAGCCCACAACCCAGGCATGTGCCCTGACCAGGAATCAAACTGTGACCTCCTGGTTCATAGGTCAATGCTCAACCACTGAGCCATGCTGGCTGGGGCTGTTAATTCTTTTTTATTTCTTCCAGTTTATGTATAGCTGATATTTCATTATTAAACTGGATTATGAAAGATCTCTTTTTCTGCCAATATTAAAGTGATGTTTACCCTGAAGATAGCTATACTCTGTCTTCTCTGAGTTTCACCTTCTCATTCTGGAGATCTTTTAACTCTCTGTTGTCTGTTTCATTTCATGTATTTCCTTTGCAAGATTGATTTCATTAAACAAGTGACCACTCCAGTGTCATTCTCTTTGAAAGCGTGAAATTATTCTCTTTGTTAAAAGATGACTGATATATTTTGAGCTGTTCCTTGAACACTCTCTGTCTTTGACTCCAGATTTCTACCTGTAACAACTGCACTGTCATCTTTGCCACAGATTCTCCATTTATCTCTTGGTTATTGAAATTCACCTTCTACTGATGTATTGAAGGCCTCAGAAGAATTGTAGTCCCCGAGTTCCTCTGTTTTGAAAACTTTTGTTCTTTTTATCCTTGAAGAACTGTTTGAGTATAAAATTCTTAGATGTCACTTTTCCCCACTGAGGTCTTTATGGCTCCTCTGTATTCCAACATTAAATTTTGTATCTCGATGTCTGTGACAGCCTGATCTTCCCCTTTATGGATGACATGATTATACTGCATGTATGAACCCCTTTATAATGGTCATATTTGAAGGTTTAACATAGTGAGTCCACAGTATCTTGGATGCTGTGTCTTTCCCTCAGGTGTTCAGCCGTGTTATAAATGGTCCCCAGGTATCATAGAGAATGCAGGAAATCTGATCATTTTGTTTTGTCTCTGTTTCCAATTTGGCATCTCAAGTCAAAAGAATAGTCCCTTCTATTAATTGTCTTCCATCACATTGTTGAACATAATTCCTTAAATGCTCTTTGTCATTTTAGGCTCTCTTGGCGAATATGGCTGCCATGTTTGCAATCTACCACGGTTCCCGAGGGCTGGAGCATATTGCTAGGAGGGTACACAATGCCACTTTGATTTTGTCTGAAGGTGAGTCACATATCTTTTTTAAAAAGTTGTGGGTATAACAAAACTGATAAACATGAGTAAGTGAAATTGAGAACTCACTGTAGGTTCAATTCTTTATACAGAATTAAAAGTCACATACTCAATAAATATATATAATTTCAACCTCACTATTACTCAAAGAAATGTAAATTGAAACAGCAAAATAGTTTTTCTACCATCACACTGGCAAAGATGAAAAAGAATGCTGATATTGATAAGACTTCTATTTTTAAGGACACTTAAACAATATGTGTCAAAAGCTTTTAAAATATGTCTATAATTTGATGCCGAAATTCTACTTCTACATATAAATCCAAAGGAAATAATAAAATAGGAAAATAAAGGGTTTCCATTGAAACACTGTTGACAATAGCACAATCTTGGAAATAGCCTAAATGTCCAATAAAAAGTAGTTACATTATAGTACATCTGTAAGTTTGACCATATACAGCCATTAAAAACAATGATATGGGTTTTGATTTTGAGAAAAGCAACATGTTGATGATATATTAAATTTTTTTTAAGTTAAAGAAATATATGTATGTGATCTATCACACATACACACACACACACACACACACACACACACACACACACACACACAACTAGAGGAATATATACGAGAACGTAACCACTAGTTATTTCTGGATGGTGATTATGGTGACTTTTCTTCCTTTTTTATATATATATATTAGAGGTCCGGTGCACGAAATTCATGCACTCAGGGGGTCCCTCAGGCCGGCCTGCGCACTCTCGCAGTCCAGGAGCCCTTGGACATCCTTAGTGCTGCCGTGGAGGCAGAAGAGGCTCTCACCACCACCACTGCGCTCGCTAGCCGTGAGCCCGGCTTCTGGCTGAGCAGCGCTCCCCCTGTGGGAACACACTGACCACCAGGGGGCAGCTCCTGCATTGAGCGTCTGCCCCCTGGTGGTCAGTGTGTGTCATAGTGACCAGTTTTTCCGCCGTTGGGCTGAAACCGGCTCTCTGACATCCCCCGAGGGGTCCCAGATTGTGCGAGGGCGCAGGCCAGGCCAAGGGACCCCACTGGTGCACGATTAGGACCAGAGAGGGACGCGGGAAGTTGGCCAGCCAGGGAGGGACCACAGGAGGGCTCCAGGGTGTGTCTGGCCCATCTCACTCAGTCCTGATTGGCCGGACCCCAGCAACAAGCTAACCTACCGGCCGGAGCATCTGCCTCCTGATGGTCAGTGCACGTCATAGCAAGTGGTTGAGCAGCCTTAGCATATCATTAGCATATTATACTTTGATTGATTGAATGGCCAATTGGATGACCGGACACTTAGCATATTAGACTTTTATTATATAGGACTAGAGGCCGGGTGCACGAAATTTGTGCACGGGTAGGATCACTAGGCCTGGCCGGTGATCAGGGCTGATCGGGGCCTTCCGGCTGTTGGCTGGGGCCTTCCTTTGTTCCGCGCTGTCCCCTGGTGGTCAGCATACATCATAGTGAGCAATCGAACTCCCGGTCTCCCGGTCGAACTTCCAAGGGGACAATTTGCATGTTAGGCTTTTATATATATATATATATATTTTTTTTTTTTTACAATTTTCTGTAGCATAGTAATAAGCATTTAATTTTGTAAGCAGCCACAAAACACTGGGTAGGACAAGAACAGACTGTTTTAGTAGGATTTTAATCTTTATTTCTCTGGAAAATATCAGTGGTGGAGGAGCAGGTTTCTGTGGGGGAATCTGGTTGATCCTCCTCTCTTGTTTAGGTCTCAAGCGAGCGGGGCATCAACTCCAGCACGACCTGTTCTTTGACACTTTGAAGATTCAGTGTGGCTGCTCAGTGAAGGAGGTTTTGAGCAGAGCTGCTCAGAGGCAAATCAATTTTCGGCTTTTTGAGGATGGCACAGTAAGTCAAACTTTCAGGTGTTTGTTTTCTTTTTAACAAAGTCTCTAGGTTTTCATGACTTTTTTATTGCATAAATTTTCATGACTTTTGTCATTAAAAGTTTTTCTCTTTATTTAACTCGTGTTAAATAAAGTATAGTGACTGACACTATACTTTCCGGAAAGGAAGACAAAACAGGCTTGGTGCTTAACATGTTAAAAAAATCAATATTGGAACTCTGGGCATAATCTGTTTTTTAAAAAAATATTCTTTACTGTTAAAAATATTCATATATCCCCTTTTTTTCTCACAATGACCCCTTCTAGCCCACCCCCGCACCCCAATCTATTTTTTTTTAATAAACCATTTTCATTTCTAGTTTAGGAACATTGTAATCCTTCAAAGGATATTTGATTCTCATCTTCCCTTAAGACTGTGTTTTCATAAAGGAGACTTTTAGGCACATATTTTCTTACTTCTCTCTTCACAATATGACTTTTCAAGGTAAAGGCCCTGATAAATGATATAATAAAGCAAGTTAAGGGAAGAAAAAGGTGAGGATATCCAGTACCAATAGTAGTATTCTGCAACCATCACGGTGTTAGAGTCCAGAAGTGGCTTATAAGACTAAATCCTGTGAAGTCTGGGGCTGGTCTTAGTCCCTTTCACCTAAGGGCCAATTCGGTAACCAACTGGCACCCTGATATTTTAAAAGGACTGGGATTTTTGTCCAGCATCTTCTCACCCTTGACCTCTCTTGGGTCTAGAGCTGATGTTTTTTTCTCTTTTGTTTTTATTTCTGTAGCTTGGTATTTCTCTTGATGAAACAGTCAGTGAAAAAGATCTGGATGACTTGTTGTGGATCTTTGGCTGTGAGTCATCAGCAGTAAGTGAAATAAAAGCATGCATTTCTTATAACGAGTATTTGAGGTGGTGTCAAAGATGGGTTTGCTTCTTGTGGTCCTGAGTATGTATGAGAGGGGGGAGGAGGTGTGACATTGGTGGCTTGCTGTTAAAATTATGGCACTGACTGTCCCTGGCAGCAGTGACTGCTGATAGAGGTTACTGCTGTGTGCCCTACCAAGGACCATGCACCCAGGCTGTTTAGAAGGATTGTCCTTAATATAGAGATTCATGACATTGGCATCTTGGTTATGTAGATTCTGAGAAAATTATGATACCCACTCACGCAAAATATATTTATTAAAGACCTAATATGTGCCAGGTAGCATGC